AAGAAAGTGTGACATACTTACTACATAGTTTGGAAAGTATACAGAATTACAACACACAAAAATCACAAATTTAATCCCAGCAAATACTCACCTTGTTAACTTTACTTGTATAGTTATTAGTTATTTATAAAAACAGAAAATTTTAAACTCACCTTTTGGTAGCTAACATGAAATTGTTGAATCATCTCATTGCTAAAAATTTAACATCATGAACAAAATCCAAGGCTGGGGATAGAAAAACTAAATGTACAAAAGAATAAGTAAGTGTTTTATTTTGGCTTAGTTTTTTTGTTGTTGTTGTTGTTGACGCTCTAGGAGAAAGTTTTGGGTTTCTGCTCTAAACATGGCAACACACACAGCAGAATGCTGCTGTCACTATGTAGCTCATCTTGAACCATGAACATTTTTCAGCAAGTCTCCAAGAAGCACAAGAAACAAACTCAGGAAGGTCAGCCACGTGTAGCAAAAGGCGAAATATGCCTTTGGTGGCTCTGGGTAGTCATATTTTCTCCTGAAGTTTATTTACATCATTTAGCAGCCTTTGAAATTTGTGTTGGGTTATCTACCACATGTGATATTTATGTTTTGCCCATAGTAGGTCTAAATTTTTAAGAAGCAAGAGTGGAACAGTGGTTTTTAATTTCAATGGAAGAAATAGAATTGCCATTTAATTATGTTGCTAATCATTATAAAAACAAGAAGAAAAAACTCTTACTACAACTGATATTTGACATCTGTCTATCTATAGATGTGAGGCATGATTCACTTCCATTTATCATCATGTCCCATGCTCAGGTTTTTTACAGGTTTATATAATCAAATAAAATTTTTTTCTTCTAGACAGCTAAATAGCCTGAATGAGATTGGAGAACTCATTTCTCACTGAATGTATTATTCATGGCAAACATCAGATTGTGGTGGTTCCCATCTGTTGAGCAGCTGCATTTCAAGCCACAGTACAAAGTACACCTGAGCATTTTATGGTTTGTTCTGGGTCCACTATTACTCATTAAAACCAAACAGGAGCTTAAAAGAACAGAGGCTCTGGGATTTCCTCCATCCCTCCCTACACCTGCCACCCAGTGGCAAGTCTTTCCTAGACTAGCTCTCTGCAAGAGGCTCTGATGAAGAATTCTGAGCATCCATCAGAATCCTCTCCTTTACAGCCAGTGTCAGAGTGCCAACTTCTATCCTAAGAGAAGCTTATGAGTCTGTGCATTATTTAGAAATTCAGTATATATGAAGTTTGGCATTCCTCAGGTAAAAACACCATGTCCATGATAGAGTGGGTGATGATTTTTTGAAAATCCTTAAATGTTGTGATAGGATATTTTGTGTTTCAGAGAAAAGGGATCTTTTCTTAGGAAATCAGTTTTTTTATGTGTCACGTGTAAAGTATGTTTGAACCTCATGTCCATTTCCTCATGTCTAATTCTGTGACTTCTACAAATCTCAAGTTTATAAACTGAGAATACCAGAAACCATTTTAAACCTTTGTTAGAGCAACTGAGCAGCCTGTACTAAGCAGCTGATCTATGCTGGGTGGGGAACTTTTTAAGGGTTGAGGGAGAAAGATGCACAGATTTTTTTTTTTCTTTTATGGGAGAGGGGTCCATTTAAGTGGCTCTGAAATTTCTGCTGAAATTAATACTGATATACCCTACTAGCATATATTAAATCAGTGTCCCCTTTTTAATGACAAGAAACTGCCTTGATAATATTTTAAATCTCCTAACTATAAATTCTTATGCTATACTTACTTTAGGTTTCTTCCAGACTTTAGATCCTTCCATATATGTGGGACATCCCATCATCTTTCCATGGAACATCAGCCTTACTCCTACACCTCTGTCCAAATGTTGAAATATTCTCACTCACTCTACTGCCACCATCTTGTTTTATGTTGAAATCCAGCTTCCACACACTACCAAATGGGTTTACCATCATCCTATTTTTATATTGCCTAAAACCTTCCCTAGCTGCCCATGTCCTATAGAATGAAGTTTAAGTTTCTCAGGATGCTTCTTGGTGCTCATTGCTCACTATTCCCCACTTCACATGTCATACTCTTAGATTCTCAACTCTCTGAGTTTTCTTCACAAACTATAGAAATAATGATACGTTGTGCATGTTGTTTCCCTTGCCTAATGAGCTTTTGACACTCTTCTTGTTATTACCCATCAAGATTCACAGTAGGTAGTATCAACTCTTACCCTCTTTCTACGTATGAATGAGGCTCCTCAAGTGTGCTTACACAGTGACCCCATGTGAATGAATGACCAGAATGAATGGGCCTTCTGTTATCAGGCATAATTAAAATTAGTCAGCAGACACAGGTGATCAATTTGACAGTAACTCTTCAGCTCTTCATACCTCCAATTGCCAGCAAGTCAAATTAGAAAGTTATGGGAACATTTGATTCCCAGTGTTATATTCGACCTGCTATTCCATCAGGTATATAAAACAATCATCTTCAAGTCTGATAACACACATAAAATTACAAGACATTTTTGTAATGTATCTACCATTGCTATTGATGTTTACATGACTTCTGAATTTTCTAATCCCTCACTCTTACACCATTAATGTACCTAATTTTATTTTAATACTTGAGTTTACTGAATTCTAATCATCTCTTATAATCCAAAATCTTTCCAAGTGCTATGTATACTCAATAAAAAAGATCCTACTTGTGGTAGGAAAATATGGAAGACTTCTGTGGTGTCCAGTTACCCTGTGTTATACAGTGGAACATTGATTGGCAGGCTTTTCCTGCACTGGGCAAGATTATAAATATTTTAGGTTTTGTGGACCACACAGTGGTTATCTCAACCACTCAACTCTGCAATTATAGCAGGAAAGCATCCATATAGACAATAAGCAAACAAATTAGTGTGGCTAGCTTCAAATAAAACTTTATTTACAAAACCAGGCAGCCCAAGACCACAGTTTGCTAACTCCCTGGGTCATTTGGAGACTCATTTCAGTGGAAAAACTTTTAGTCAGATTCTGTTTAGGAACAGAAACATTTTCCAACTGTACAAAATCCTGGGGAAAATACTTTGAAGGAGACTTGTGCTATACTGTGTTATGAAATTTTTTCAGAAGCCGAAGCTGAGGGAATAAGATTATGTAAAAGTTCATTTGCTTTCATAACAACCCTCACAGCTCAGCATATCAGGAGTTACATCCCAAGTGAAACTGAAGTTTCTGTGTGATGCTCTAGCACTAAATAATGAGAGCCATAAAAGTGCTCAGAGGCTCTTTAGAAGTAGTGAATTTTTTTAGCAAATATCCCACAGTAATGACCCTGAGGGAAGAAAAATCAGTGCACCCAATGATATTTAGAATAGAAATATTCATTAACATTAAAAATTTAGAGTAACCCTGTTGGGAAATGAAACAGCAGCATGGAGGACTTCTGGAGAATCTTTTCATGTGATAATTGTATGGAGGGTATCGATCCTTGGAAATGTGCACACTGAAAATTCCAAGCAGGGAAAATCCAGTACAGAATGTATGCTCATATGATTTCTAACATGAAAAATCAATGTATATGAATTTTGTCATTTAATATTCAGTTACTATTGATTGCATAAGAGCACACTATGATCAAGCTTCTGTTCAAAGCATGGAGAACATAGCAGTGAACAAAAGAGACCAAACTGCTTGCCCTCATGGAGCCAATGGGCTTAGGAGAAGGAGACAGATATTTGGGGATCAAAGGGATTTTTGACAGTTGAAGTACTTGGAATTTTAATGTCATGGGATTTTTTCCTATAAAAGATGCTTCTATAACAAAAGCTTTTTCTCCCTTTGTCATTGTCTTTTAGGAAGAGAATTTGTTGATAATTTTATTTAATCAGAATTTGTTGAGTTCCTACTATGTGCCAAGTGAAAAAAAATAAAGCAGACAAACCCTCTACCCCCATAGAGCTATGCTCTAGTGGAGAAGGCAGAACATAAGATAACTAAGTAAAATTTATAGAAGGTTAGATGATGTCTCGGGGCAGAGGCAAAAGAGGTAAAGGAGGCAAACAGGATCTGAAATGATGGGAGAAGGCAAACTTTTTAGATTTGGTAGTCAAGAAAGACTCTTGAGAAGGTTACTTTTGATTAAATAGTTAACTAATGAATGAGTGATGTGATAGTGGGGAAGGGCATCATTCTGGGCAAAGGGATCTGCAAGTTCAAAACCTGAGATTGGAGTGTGCCTCAAGAACATCCAGGGGCCCTAAGACTGCATATAGTAAGTGAAGGAAAGAGCAGTGGGAAGTGAGAGGGAAGAAGTAACAGAGAGCAGATCCCATCCAGCCTTTTAATTCAATTTAAGTATGTTAGATTTTATTATGAGTAATGGGAAGCCACTGGAAAATTGTGAGCAAAGGAGAAAGATGGTCAAGTTTGCATTAAAATAATTTAAGCTGTTAAGAATACAAAACAGATAGGCTTAGGAGGCCATTGCAGTAACCCAGGTGAGAGACAATAAACATTTAAAATGTGAGGACACAGAAGGACACAGGAGGATAGGAGTGTGGCTGGAACCTGCCATAGCCCACTTGACACTAAGGGTGAGATAACTCAGCAGCAGTGACAATTCCTTAACCCTTGCTGTAGCACCAGTGGGAAGGACAATGTGTTAGGAATATAGGTGCTAAGTTTAGCTTCGTTAAATGTCCCAAACAAATCAAAAATGCGAAACCAAATTTGTTTCATGGGTACCTCCTTCTACAGCATGCTCTACTTACCTCACCTTCCTCAGTCATTTCCCTTGTCTGGTTTTCTTTATGCATTAGCATCTTCAGTGTCTGCTAATGTTCTAACAGTGCTTTGACTTTCCAAGACTTACATTAAGTTAAAGTGACAGAATAATGAAAGATTCCATTGAAACATTTTTTTTCTAGAAACCTAGAGATAATAAATACTATTATTGTCTTTTTGCTATTACAAAGCCTAACACCAATAGCAACAGAATGTAATATTTATTTATTTTTTTTTAGGGAACAGCTTCATTCTTTATTGAAGACCTATAACATTTTTTATGGGAACCAGGAAAATTTGCATATTTTATATGGACAGGTAAGACCATCAAAGAAATGCATCCCAGTTTGATTAACAGAAAGAAAAATACTCTGTAAATGTTCAGAGGAGTAAGGATGGGTTAGAGTCTATAACCTAGTAGCACAAGTGGTCTGGGAGAAACAAGTGAATCTTTAACCTGATTTTAGTTTCTATTTTTAGACTATATCACAGAATACCAGGCCTGGACATGTGTGATCTTCCAAACATTTTGGGAATAGGAAAGCATTTAAAAGTAATTTTTTTCTTATATATTTATTTTGGTTCTGGGTATTGAACCAAGGGGCTTTCTACTACTGAGATACATATGTCTCAATCCCATTTATATATTTGTTCTTTTCCTTTTTTTTTTTTTTTTTTTTTGTGGTGCTGATGATTGAACCCAGGGCCTCATGCATATGAGTTAAGCACCTACCAACTTAGTTATATCCCCAGCCCTACCCCTTTGTATTTTGAGGCAGGGTATTACTAAGTAGCTGAGGCTGGCCTGGAACTTGTGATCCTCCTGCTTCTGCCTCCTGAGTTGCTGGGGTCATAAATGTGCACTGTCATACCCAGCTAAAAATAATTCTAATGATATATTTTCTTTATGTTTAAAAACTGGAGTGTGAATATGTTTTGAGCAGCAATTTCATTAGAAATTTATCATAATACTTTCTTACAAATGTACCAGGATATATATAAAAGGATGTTTGTTGTGACATCATTTTTAATGGAGAAAATTTGAAGGTATCTGAAGTCTACCACTGGGGAGTATTCAAATAAATCACCTATAAACTCAAACTTGATTTGGTTGTTCAAATGGATAGTTAGATTCTGATCAATATACACCATATCATAACAACAAATTTAAAAATTTTGAACAGTATGGGAAAGTCATGAAACTAGAATGCATTTTTAGGGGTGCAACTGGCATGCTACTATACAAAGTAATCTTAAGTTTTCTTTTTTTTAATCTTTTTTAAAAATCTGAATGCTTTAGTCTCCTTAGCTGTCTGCACTCAGTCTCATATTCTAATTTGACTCTCTTCACTTCTTTACAGTTCTGGCTTCAGGGAACATTAGAATTTTCTACTCCTGATTTAAACCTCCAGATTTGAGGGTGCAGCATAGAATTTCAACCACTATGATGTGACTTAAATTTACAAGTTGTAAAGAAGGAAATTTAAAAACACTTGTTTTAGTCAACTTTTTCATTACTGTGATTAAGGACCCAATAGTACAATTGTAGAGGAGAAAAGTTTTATTTGAAGGCTCATGGTTTTAGAGGTCTTAGTCCATAAAAGGCTGGCTCCATTCATTCGGGCTCAAGGTAAGGCAGGACATCATGGCAGAAAAGTGTGGCAGAGGGAAGCAGCTCACGTGGTGATCAGGAAGCAGAGAGAGAGACTCTACTCACCAGATACAAAACATATGCCCCAAAGCCACGCCTCTAGTGTCTCAACTTCTCCAACCATTCCTACCAGCCTTCAGTTACCACTCAGTTAATCGCTACCAGGGGATTAAATCACTGATTCAGTTAAGGTTCTCACAACCCAATCATCTCTTCTCTGAACCTTCTTGCATTCTCTTACACACGAGTTTTTGGGGGATACCACATCTAAACTATAACAACACTCTAGCTTTTACTACTGAACTTAAATGATTTAGTACAATTAGATATTTCAATTACCTTCCCCAAATTAATACCATACTAAAAAAAATAACTAAACTCTTTATAAAGAAATAGACTAGAAAGTAAGTTTTATAGGAATATTCTTTGTTCTTAATATATGCTAATTGTTCTTAATATATGCTAATTTGTTTGCATGATGTTTTCTTCTTTTGTTGTACTATTTCTAATTCAAAATGAATTTTCAAATCATATTTATTTTTTTACAAATATTTCTATGTTCTGCATCTTATGGTGTATTTCACAAGTATTATTTCACATGTTCTGCATCATTTTGTGAGTTAAATTCAGCCTCATTTAGAAATGAATAAACAGTTGCTGAGTCCCTCAATGACTTTATTCTAGGTTCTAGTTCAATACAGTTTTTAAAAGGCTTCAATTTTAAACAGTATTAGAGCATTAGAATTCCACTTAATTGAAGAAGTATAGAGTTCAGAAAGCATTCTCACGTGTTCTACCCTCTGGTGGACATGCTGTTAGCATTATAACTTGCTCACTTTTCTGGGTACAGCTGTTTTCAAAAATTGAAAAAATGTGTCAAAGATAGAATTATTTTGCAGATAAACTGAGAAGTCATATAATTCCTTTGAGGATTTTTTTAACCTCTTAACATTTCTTATGAACTTAATTTCTACAACTTTGGTGAAAACATTTACCTTCTATAAGTAATACAGAAACAACTATAGAGACTATTGGTTTCTTTCTAGACTGAAGATGGGAAACTAATTGTTGAAGGAATGCTGGACATTTTCTGGGGAGTGAAACGACCTATACAGCTGAAAATACAAGATGACAAGCCAATCTCTTCTTTCACTATGTCAAAGTCACCAGATGTCTTTTCTAACAAAGGGTGAGCAATCTTTCATGCTTTTAATTCCTTAGATGATCTTCATAACAATTTTATTGCATGTGCTTTTACACAGCCTCATACAATACCCCAGTAACTCCATGAATTAAGTGTTCAGGGCTCTTTGGAATTTGGGAATTTGTACAAGATTTCCCAATGACTATGCCACAAAACCAGACTTTATTTTACTTCTATGGACTCCAGACTTTTTCTCCCACCTGGAAGACCACAGGCTTCATTGCAAGAGACAAAGAAGAAAGGCAGAATCCAGTTATTCATGGCCTGGTCTCTGAAAAAGGGGGAAGAGGCATAAAATTTACATATATCCTCTCCTTGGAACAAGTCTTTTCTTGCTTTCCAGAAGGATGACTTAATTATGTTCCACCTAATTGTCCTGATCCTGTTTAACAGAGCACAACAAAGTGCATTTGAAGTTAAATAAGTACACAAAACACAGTTCTCTGTATGGATTTATGTTAACTGTACCTTGAATATCAAAGTTGGGCTGATTTTTTTTATTACCCCTTACAAATTTTAGGAAATTTTATAAATATTCCCAGCAAGAATCAAACTTACGAAAGTTCCTTTCTTTTCTTCTTTTCCTTCCTTCCTTCCTTCCTTCCTTCCTTCCTTCCTTCCTTCCTTCCTTCCTTCCTTCCTTCCCTTCTCTCCTTTTGATCCTTAGCCTCATCGCCCTTTTGCATATGCCATGAGATCCTAAGCCATTTCTTCTCATCTTTCATCCTCCCATCCACTAATGGATGAGTTGGAGTTCTATCAGAGGAGAGGGTATAGAAAGAGCTGCCAAGACAATTTGCCCCATCTGATCTTTGGCCACAACTAAGGAAAACCAGGTATTATCTTGAAGGAAGTCTGCTTTTCCTTTGGAGAAAATATTTAAGCCTCACCATGATTTTTACCTTTTCTCAAATATTATGCTCCAGCAATGCTGAATGTTTTGTAATTCCCTAAACATATTCTGTAGTTTCTTCCTTGCCTATCTTACTCTGCCTGGAAGTCTACCTGCTTCTCAACACCCATTTGCCTGACTTTCTTCTATCTAATCCTTCAATTCTCAGGTCAGGTAAAAAAAAGCCTTCTTGATCTTTCAGTCTATGCTCAGTATAGCTGGCCACTTCTCTATATCACCTCTAGAGCATGCATCCCATTGTATTTGTACACACCTATCTCCCTCTCTGCAGTGTGAGCTGCTAAATGGTACCCAACTGACCTGGAATCATCTTTGTGTTCCAGTCCCCCAGTGAGGTACCCAGAAACTGATTAAATTACTTCTTCTTTATGTGACAGCACTGTCTCTCTGTCTGCCACTTCTTACTAGTCTTCCTTCCATCTAAGCTAAGGACTCTGGGTAGGCATAGGGTCTACTACTTATGAAAAAGCAAAAGACAAGCAACAGTCAGGCAGCCTCACGAAGTCCTACATTCATCTCCTTCGGGTACTAGATGACTGATAGCGTAACAGAGCCTCTTTGAAATTAAAAGTTTCAAATCACTTTTTGCTCCTGAACTTCTTCATGCTAAGAATAGAAATTGAGAAGGTTTACCCCTGGCCCTGGCAGGCACCAAAGAAACTGAAACCGCGACATATTTCTGACTAGCACAGCCTAGCTAGATCTATATATGTACATTTCCTGAGTTTTGTTTCTAAAATCGTAACTACTTCTGTAGGACTGACGGAGCAATAAACTAGCTGCTTCTCTCCATGTTTGGTCAAACTGGGTCTCATTCATTTTTACTTTTTTTTTATCGTTTGATTATTTTTTATGCAGGCAGGGGACCAAATCCAGCCAGCTGGGATCTAGGCAGGTTCCCTGGCTTGGCTGTTGTTAACAATAGTACTGATGATTTAAATGTCTAGGAGCATCAAATTACTCAACTTTATAAGATACAAATTCACAAAATTAGCCATTGCATTTCATATTATCTAAAAACGCATGGCAAATTTCTCTGAGCAGCTAGCTCCTTTTGATGCATTTTCATTTTTTGATTTATGAAAACTTAATAAGTGTGGTGCATTAAATTAAAGGAAGATGTCAAGGAGATGGAATGAAAGTACTTGCAATATCACAGTAAACCATCATTATTTTGAGTGGCTATCCCAAAATATTTTTTTAATTTCTGAAAATCAAAATACTTGTTCCTAATACTCCTAAATTTTTGGATAACTTTCAAGATCCCAAGTAGTCAAGGTAATATTAATGTTATTCTATATACTGAGGCAGATTATAAGATGATACCCTTATGCTTTACCTTTTATGGAACCTATTTGAATTTTTCATTGTTTACCAGAACATTGATCTCCTATTGTTTAAAGTTGAAAAGGAATTACTTAGAAAACTACATCAGATTGCCTTTACCATAGTAACAAGACTTACTAGAATATCTGAAGTATGCTTTTGCAGAATATCAGATATTTCTGGTGGACAAGAACTTGCAGGAAATAGTGGCACTCCTTCCACAAACACTTAGATTCTCACACACATAAGAGCAAAATTAGATTTGGTTGTGATTAATAAGTCAAGAATACTTGGTGAAAATTAGCTGAACATTCATATTGGAAGACAAAGCATAACTTGGAATGGCTTTTCAGTGGTCTCTGGTTCTCTCATGGGGTGCATAGCCAAACTTAGGTATCATTCTTTGTTTTAATCCAATCTTAAATGTCCTAATTCTGGTTACCACTCTGGTTGACTCATTTAAATTCTAAGCCTCTATTTCATTGTGTAAAGAAATTGACTAGCCCCTCACCCAAGGTTTTTCCAAAGGGCCTTTTTCCATTCAGGGCACCTGCAGGCAGAACTTAACACCTCTACTCTTGCAAGAACATGGACTTGGTATCTCCAGTGGGTGAACGAGCAGGAAAGGTCATGGCTGTTGTGTACCCAGCTGCAGGAAGGGCTGCAATTGCATGTCTTTCAGTTCACTGTTTGAGAGAATCGTCAGTCCTATCATGCTAGTTTGTTTTAATTATGTTAAAAATGAGTCACACTGAGGAAGTAGCAGTTACATAGGAGTTGTAGCAACAAAAAATAAATCTGTTTGAGTTCTGACCACTTGTGATCCATTATAGAAATGAATCTGTGAGCAGCACTTTGATCTCTCATATTTGGGCCAAGTGTTCTCTTTTAAAATTTTCCATTCAAAACGTAAAAATAAAAAAGAAGAAGAGGAAAAGAAAAGGAAAGGAAAGAACAGCTTCATTGAGGTTATTTTTGATTGCACTATTTTTCATTGCTATTTTTAATATTTTTTCAAAATCAGTATTGTCATGTTTTAAACAAGTCATGGCAGAATGAGGTAAAGAGTAGAAACAGGACAGGTGCATATTTGAATAGCACCAGTACTGTTTTTATTTTTTTACCATATGGTTAGGGAAGTGCTTCTATTTGTCTATCAAATTTCTACTTCCATTTTATTTTGCAACTCATTAGGAAACCTCCTTAGAGTTTAAATTTGCAAATGGTACACATCCTGAAGTTTGGTTAGAGCAATTCAAACAGTCCTGTGTTTGGGCAAGTTAAACTATTTGATATTAAACTTCCAACCAGTTCTCTCTTGAAAACACTGGGTAACTGCCCTCAAGCTTAGTCATGTGTACAGTTGTACAGAATGGCACTCAAATTACACAATACACAGCTTAAAAGTCTTTTTTTTTCAGCTGTAGATGGAAAGGAGGAAAATAAACCAAACACTAAATATATTGAGCCATGTTTGAACTCCTGTGTCTGTGTGGCACCTTTAAACTGAAGAAGAGGACAGCTGACAAGTTTACCAGAGTCACCAATAATTTGTGTTGCACATCACTGGTCTGGAATCCTGGGAATTCTTACATCCCCCATATGAAATACCATCAAGTTGCTTGCCCATTTAGTTTCTGCTTTTCCGTGGAATTCCATCTTTTCTACTGATTACCCTCTTTCTCTGATAACTAAACCTGCCCTTTTTTGATTATTAATCTGCTATAGATTAGATTGGAAGTGGATAATTTTTATATAATGTGAGAATAATTAGATTCCACATTAGGACCTGAGTAGTCCTCCTTTGAGTTAAGTTATTACATGTAGTATTTGCCCTTTATATCATTTATTTTAACCAACTAACTATATTCTGGACAAGAGATCTTGCTGGAAAATTCATTAACAAATATATCAGGATTGTGTTATCTATTTCTTATGCCTATTGTGAGATGAATTAATAAAATAGCTGGAAAAGAGTTCTGAATAATTCAGAAGTCAAGGACAAACAAGAATGATTTTTTTTCACATTCTCTACCATTCGTATTAATAGATTTCCCTCCACATACTCTATCAATGACATTTTGGTAGTGTTAATGTCACATACTCCCTAAGGTGAATATGTTTTTGTTCACAATACACAGATATTATGGAAGATGTCTTTATTGGGAATAAGACTGTTTCCATAAATAACGGTGTTCATTTCCCCAAGAGATCCAGGAATATGTGGATCCCAGTTGTGCTTAACCCATGGAAATGGATTCAGATGATGGTGATGAAGATGAAGACAATTCTGATAAGTTTTAGATATATACTAAGTATGTATCATACTCACATTAAGTATTATTCAGGGCACCATTTCAAGAACTTTATATGAATTAATTCATTTAATCAGTAAAGGCACCCCATCCTATCTCATACCATCACCATCTCCATTTTACAGATAACACTAAGGCCAAGAAATGATAAGTAACTTGTTTAAGATCAGATAAATAAAATAAGTGTTAGCCTGCTACAAAAATAAGCAGGTTTCATTTACTCAGGGCACCAGAATACATAGAAAATTTCTATATTCCAAAATAAATCATAATTTTCTATAGACAGAGTTTCTCATACATTTTCCTCCTTTGTATTTTTCATGTGGTCAGGGTACTATATCTTATTATTAGGCACTATATCTTATTATTTCAGAGTTACTTTACATAATAATCATTTTAATACAATGGGTATACTCAATACATATTGGTGGAATGAACGCTTTAGTATCTAAACTCCCCTAAGAATATAGTGAGGTATGCTTGTAAAAATGAATCATATTGGTTTCGGTCAATTACATTTGCATATATGCTTCATAGATTCTATATAACCTTGTGTTTCAGTGTATAACTGAATTATTACATTAAAGATATCAAGATGTGGCTCCAAAAAAAGTTCAGGAAGTACTTAAAACACATACTGACGACTTTGATATGAATATAATGTTAATAGCATCATAAAATTTTTATAATTTTGAATAATATGTCTACCTACAAAAACCTACAAGTATTATATTAATATTATAAATCTGAAAATTATCTTGAGTTTCAATACAAATGAAATTGATGACATTTACAAGATTTATTACTTTTTAGGAGAATGACACGCTGGGGGGAATTTGATGATCTTTATCATATCAGTGAGCTGGAGAGGACCCAGATTCCATTGTCTGAAGCAAGCAATTCCCAGGAAGGTCAGTATCAAAACTTGTTAATGGGGAGACTTTATTTTTAATCAGTGTAAAACCTGACTCCTAAATGTTTCTAGACCACTACTCAGTAAACTCTTGCCATACACACACACACACACACACACACACGTATACACACACATATATATGAAATATATATGAATTATAAGAAATATATACAGATAAGTATTTCTTTAAAATATCCTAGAAGCATAGTAATTTAAGTTTCTACAATATGATGTTCAAGAACCTTATTTTGCTATATAAAAATATGCTGACCTTTTAAAAAATTACATCAAGTCCCTTAGCTTTATTAGATTACCTAGAGCTAATGGTTTGAACAAAGTTTGTATTGTTAAGTGTTCACTATTTTCCCTGAGGATTAGAGCCATTTATTATTCTCATTAGCTTCATGTTAGACCAAGTCCCTCAGAGCTAATATCACATTGTTTTTAGACGTTGAACATTTTAGTTAATAGATATTTAAGTAGTATTGCTGCTTAGAAAGAGGCAAATATGCTATAGTCACTTTTATATTTGGTAGTTATTTTAATTTTTAAAAGATAAATCTACTTAAATATCAAATGGTCTTCTATCAGACTTGAGGATCCAATGGAAAATTCCAGTTCCTATAACATGTGATGTTAGTAGTTGCAATAATAATGATGATTATGTGACAGTGGTAGTAATAATAATGATTATTACAGTTGTAATTTAGTGAGACTCTGCCAAATATCAGTCATGATATTTTATATTTTAAATGGATGTTTTTTATGTACTTCTCATATATAGAGATCCAAAAAGGATTTGATGACTGAAGCTGGGGGCCAGGGCAGCAGGGTTCAGACACCTAAACTGGGGCTTTGATATTTCCAGCCCAGGTTCAGACCGATCAAGGTGCATGCAGCTGGTATTGAATTCATAAGCTTATCAACAACCTCCAGTGTTTGTTTTTTAGTTTTGTTTTTAAACCCTTCTTAATTCTGTTTCCTCCACTCTCTCCATAAGTTCTCAGATACTGTAACAAAACGTGATATTTTTTCCAAGTTTCCCTTATCTTTGTCTTATAGGATCTTATTATCTATAGGCCCATCCAACTATGTCTTTGCTATCTCTTTGAAAATCATCATTAAATCCAAAGGAATCTTAATATCAGGCACCAAAGCTACCACAAAAATCTATTTGTATTTATGCACTCGTTCCAGAGCAAGATTAAATAACTCATACCTATTTGATGGTACTGTAGTCACAATAGAAAATTATTTAAGATTCCAAAGTAAAATAGAACACAGATGGTACCAGATGGCCCAGTTCTTACAGAAAAACCAGTTGAGAAAATTGGAAAAAGTACTGAAGGCAGTTTTGAATCTTCTGCATCTTTAGGCTAGGAATACATTGCTGCTCAGTCCAATTTCATTTAACGGTTACAGTACACCCAATAGTAACTAGGTCAGTCTGAAGCTTTACTATAATTTTATATTCTAAAATCTGGTATATGAATTGGAATAACAGAATAACCAAATTTTGACTAGAGTGTGGGTCATTGTTGAATTCACATGGCCCAATGACAAGAAACAATAGGATAGTGGTCAATTAAGGGGAACGACCAAATCGTATTCCTAGAATGAATTATCTGATATGTTACTAGCTGACATCTGTCCAAAGCATATTGATACTTTTGTTTTTATAAAAGATGGGAACAAAATCTTTCAAGATTCTTACATACATTAAAAATGGCTTCTCAAGCGTCTATAGAATTTTTAGGGCCAATGTCCATCTTCTCAGGAGTAAATGTAAAACCAAGATCCAGACTTGACTCCATAACTTGAAGGTACTGTGTTCACAGAAAAGTCACTTCAACTCATTGTGCTTTATCTTACCAATATGAGATCAGATTAATAGAATATTAAGTTTCTTCCATCTCTAATATTCTGAAATTCTATAAAATTTACTATTCACACTAAATTAACATTGAAAGAATGCTCCACCCCCAAACATGTGATTGTTGTGATCATTTCATGTGAGACACAATTCACTGAGAGAATTTTCTATTTGATCAATCCCCAACAATATTTAGAAAGTAAATATGTAGACAAGTAGTGGATTGTGATGCTTTTAAACAGCTAGGAAATAGCAATATCCTCAAAATTAAAGAAAACATATCCCAATCTACCTAGGATACAAGGAGATGGGCAGCTAAATGATATGGGCTCATGATCTTTATTCTTCCCAGACTATTTATCTTATCACAGCAGTACTCTGAAGCCATATGCATATGAAGAACCAGAGTCCCCATTGCTCTATAGAACCATGAGTGAAGCAGCCCTGGTAAAAAAAAGAATGAAGCCTCCAATGATGGACCGAAAAGACAGACAGAGCCATAGGGCCTCTATTAATGGACACTTCTATAACCATGAAGTGAGTGAGTCACAGTTCCATTAATGTGATTTAAAACAATGTTGTCTATTGTTCTAACAAAAGTTGAATGCCACTCAATTCAACTTAAAATTTAGTATACTAATAATAACAATGGCAGTAGTATATCTAACTTTCACTGGGCACTCCCTATGTGCTAGCTCTAAACTAAGTGTTTCAAATAGATTTTTGATGAATTATCTCATTAACCTCTAGAGCTATCCTATGAAGTAGGTACAACTATTTTCTCTTCTTTACATGAGTTAATTGAGGTTCACAGAGGTTAAGTCATTTGTCTTAGAGCACACTGCTTTTAAGTATTAACTCTAAATTTGAATCCAGATTTGTCTGATTCCAGAACCCAAGTTATTAATCAGTGTGGTGGTTGAACTCCACCTAAGTGTCAGGAATTGAGCCTGGTATTGGAAATATACCAATGGATCAATGGATGCCTCTGCCAGCATGAAGCCATAGAGCTTGCACAGGGAAATAAAAATACCAAGAGATAATGTCAGAATAATGCAAAGAATACAATGGAAGTTGGCTCAAAGGACACTTGAATATTAACATTTAAATAAAAGGGAAAAGTCAGCCAAAACATATTTATTCTAATAAATCAAACTTCTTATTTTACTTATTCTCTTTTTTAAATTAATTAATCAATTTTACAATAGAATGAATTTTGACATATAGTACACAAATGGAGCACAACTTCTTCTCTTTCTCTTTCAAGTTTTGTACCTGCACACATATTTTTGTAATGAATATGTGGTTATGGTTTGGAAAAAAATTGTGTTCTTACCTGCAACTAATGTATGCTATATTTATGTATGTCTTTCCATTAGTACTTATAAGACATTTCATGTTGCTGAAGGTAGGAAATATATCATTCTTTTCTAATACTCAAATATTTTTATGTCATATTCTTTAGTAATCATTTATGCCTTTTTTAAACACATACTTTAAAAGCACTTAACTATATCAAGCACCTTCTGGACCTTCAATCAGAAATATCAACTGATTTCTCTGTAGGGTTTTTACTATAGAATTTTCTACATTATTGCTTATTTTCTGCAGCTGGGAGGCTGTCAGTACTGTGTTTGGAACCCAGTGGGGAGAAACCTCTCTTCTCAATCCTTTGTTCAAATTAAACAATTTTTTTCTGGTTTCAATAACTATCCTCCTACCTATAAAGTAGCGTTAAGCATTCTCCACAGATATTTACATACCAATTATCCTGGTTTCTTTCTCTCCTCAGGAATTATGCTATTTGTCATCATCTTGTGGGCTGATCTGTGTTGAAGAAATGTTGCTACAAATGAGTGGCTTCCAAATAGATCACTTGTGCTGGGAATGAAAATAGCACTAAACTGTCATCTTAACATAGTGGTTAAGTTCTTGAGCTCTGGAGCTTGATAACATGATTTCAAATTTTTGTCAAGCAAAGTTAATAGGTTGCCCAATCTCTTGGTCTTTGTTTCTTCCATACTTTCCTGTTTTACAAGGTTGTTGGTGGGATTAAATAAAATGAAGCAAACTAAGCATTTCCCCATTTATTGTTCTGGCACACAGAGTTATATTTCCTCCAAGATGAATGTAATAAAGTGTGCACACACCATTAGTTACCTACTTCTGAGTCCCCACTTATGTATTACTTTTTCTCCTTAATTTAAGCACATATCATTTGTATCATAAAATTTAAAATTGGTTTTATTTTATTTTATTATTGTGTTAAAATTAATTTAGTAAGTATTTATAAAGGGTCTAGAAGAGTTTGATACATTGTCAAGACTATGTTAAATAATTAGTTATTTGAGAATTCTAGAATATCCTGTGAAATAATGTCATCACTTTCAGGAATTATATATTCTTCCCACTTCAGATTCACAATATGATTTTTGTTAGCTTTATATAATTTAAAGGACTTATATGACATTTTTTTCCTAGACATCAATTTTCACCCCGGCCTTTGGATCAGAAACCAAGGTCAGAATAAACAGTACCATGACAACTGAAGAAGTAATAAAGCAACTTCTCCAAAAATTTAAGGTACTCTTTATACTAAGCAGAGCTATACGTATCTTGAATATAATTTAACTGTGGACAAATAAATGCACTCTTCTGAAAAGACCCATGAACATGTAAATCTAAATTGTATGTCCAGTTCTGAAGGAGTCTTTTCTTTGTATAACACCATTTAGTAATGATGCCCTGAGAAATCACATTATTTCCAAGAGGGCAGAGGTTTTATGTTTGAGAGTAAAAAAGGAAAGTGAGGATATAAATGCATAATTTGGAGTTGGTTGGCTTAGAAAATATCATGAAAACAAAGAATCATGTCTGTTCATTTTTTTTTTCCATTGACAGATTGAGAATAGTCCTCAGGATTTTGCTCTTTACATTATTTTTTCAACAGGAGGTAAGAAAGCTTGATCATTCTTTGCACCTGACTCCAGTGTATTATAATGACCTCATTCTGTGGGGGAAAAAAAAAGAGAGGAAAGGTAGGAGAAAGAGAAGAGGGTTTTCAAACATTACTTATGTCCTTCAATTTTAGAGAAAGATAATCTAAAGTTGAAGTATCCTCAAAGAATTTATAATACTTAAGAGTTTTCTTAGTGGCCATTCGATTATCTGAATGGGGATCAGAACCCCTGGGGGTCCACTGAGGGTTCTCCAGGAAGTGTTAGGCAATTATATATCTGTCCACCTCTGCACATCTATCTTTTTCATTTTCTCTTCTTGCTGTATCTATTAGGGTAGTCATCACTGCCTCCCATTTCTCTCTGACCTGATTGTCTCTTTCTTACTCATCAATTGTTGAGGTACCACAGGTACCACAGGGCTTGTGTTCAAATAACCCTTATTTTACTTAATAATGGCCTCAGAGTAGTGATGCAGATGATATTATTAGAATATATTTGTTACAGTTTTATACTTTATTATTAGTGTCAATCTCTTATTGTGCCTAATTTATAAATTAAACTTTATCATAGGTATGTGTGTATAAGAAAAAGACATGCCATGTGTAAGATTTGGTACTATCTGCAGTTTCACCCACTGGAGTCTTGGAACAGCTGCCCCAAACCAGGGGAGGGGGGATACTGTACCATTTCAAGTGAGAGCTTCCTGTTGTATGTTCTCTTTAGGTCTATTTCTTCGGAAATGAGACAAAGAAAGTGAATGGGAAAATCATCTTTCTTCTTTTTCTCTAGGATGATCCCTGAATGTAGTTGATTCTTGTTTTCATTTGCAGAGCAGAGACGGCTAAAAAAGACAGATATCCCACTACTGCAAAGGCTTCTACAAGGACCTTCCAAAAACAACGCTCGAATTTTTCTCATGGATAAAGATGCAGAAGAAATTAGCAGTGATGTATGGATATGACCACCCTGAATCTGCCTCTGCATCTTCCCTCCTGACTCAGCACCTCTCACATAAATGTTCTGCTTTCTTTTTTTGTGTGTTTTATCTTTCTCAGGTGGCGCAATACATTAACTTTCATTTTTCCCTCTTGGAGTCCATTCTTCAAAGATTAAATGAAGAAGAGAAAAGAGAGATTCAAAAAACAATAGCAAAGTAAGTCAAGTGTGTGCACCTGGGCACTTGGTCCTTTTAAAAGACTGAATGCACAGTATGCGTCCGTTTTTAATACTCTCTCCTACTTCTCATTTCCAGATTCCACACAGAAAAGGCCATTATACTGAAATGTCTTCAAAGTAAACGGAAAGTAAAAACAGAGACGACAGTTTAGTAATACAGGCCTCGATTACTAAAACATGTCAACAAAATTACAGAGAGATTGCTATTTGACAAATGCGTAAAGTCTGCACTAGCATTCAAACCATTACCTGTGACTTTGAACTGGTAGAAAACCAAATGTTGAAGCAGCTTGTTTTTCTTTGAAGTGTTAAGGTTAACCAGGGTTCATGTTTAGACTAAAATTGAGTTCAAATCTAGTTTCAGGAACTGAAATAAGTTTGGATACTTTGTATTCCAAAAATATCTATTATCATAAAATGTGTAATGAACATAAGTTTAAGTGGCATTTTTAGATATTATGCAGGTCAAACTTCTTTTAGCTTGAATTCTCAAGAGAACTGAAATATCAGCAACTGACACAGAAATGACTGGAAGTAAAAACAGCCAGTTCTTAAAATGAACAAGAATCATATTCCTACACCATCAGGGATCTGACAGTCACAGTGTTCCACATCTCCTTGAACAAGCTGACATTTTCATTAAAGCCAGGACTGCCTCTCTTTGAGTTGATGACTGTAATATTACAGCTATCTATCTTTTGGGAAGGAAAAGATTATGGAGTCTGTTAAGAGATCCAAATTATCATTTTCTCAGTCTTGGCCCTTTTTTCTTTCTCTGCTCTACTAAGCACTTTCAAAACTATTCTTAAAATTGAACTCCCTTTCTTTATTTTTCCAAGCAAATATACCACAAAGACTTAATATATTGCATTAGATAAAACCAGACTTGGCCACAAATATCTATTTTTGGCTGAATGAGTACAGTGGATAAAGCAAAGCTGTGGTGGCTGTGGCAGGCAGAGGTCTGGAACTGTACTGTCGCAGCACCCTGGTCTACAAGTCACACTCGAGGTACTTACAGTCTGCTAAGCTCATCTTGAAAAAACCCACTCAGAAGGAAGAAATGCTACAAGTTCCAGCTATGATTTTATTTATGAATCTGTATTAAAATGAAGAATGGTCCAACATTCTTCCACTCCCCAAACTACTTCCACTTGCATTTTTCATAAGCATTGTGTTATATTGTTGGTCATTGCATATCCTAAGGAATAAGGTTGTATGTAATAAACCCAGTTGAAAGATTAATTATTAACATTAAAATGTGAAACATTTTTAAGACAGAGGTATTACTTACCATTATCACAAAAATCTGAACTGGTTGAAAGTGAAAGTGTACTATGACTTTTTCTGTTACTCTTTTACTGAGTAAAAAAGAGGCTTCTACTTTTATCATCAATGAGTTAATAGGAAAATAGTTTTGTCTCACTAAAATAAGATAAATGTGATAGTTAAAATTCAGTCTACTTAAAAAAATTAAGGCAGTATGAAGTGCCTTCTATAAATGATAAAAATTAACATATTGAAAATCTACAAAATGCATAAGTACCAAGCCTTGCATAGAAAATAAAAAGATATATGTTATGAAATGATATGAAAATAAAAATCCCAGATGAGGGAGTACAAATGGCAACTAAGTATATGAAAAAAAGTTGTATCTTTAACAGCGATCGCCTCTTTGTGTATATGCTCAATCAGCAGACAGAAATATGCAGTAACTTAAAAAGAATTATGAAGTCATGATGGGAGAGTATGTGTAAAGATGGTAAGAGAACATGAAAGGGTACCTAAGGCTGAGGGAGACAACCCTAAAAAGGAAGAAATTGAATGGGGATTTCAGAATTTACTGGGAAAGGTGTGGTTGCAGCCCCCTGGATAGAAGTTAGGGAGGCTGCCCAGGCCAGAGCAGCAGCACACTTGCTGGGCAAGCAGGGAACTAACCTTTGGAGTGTGACTAGATGAGGGAGATACACAGAGGAACTAGGAGCTTTGTTAAAGGTGGACACGAAGACTGGGAGCTGAAGGGGCTGTTTTGCAGGAATCTAGAATAATACTGTATAAGATTTAGGCTGGGGCATCTTCGAAGCTGCATGGAACAAATGCCAGGAAAGAAGCACACTAGATCGCTGACCCCTTGAGTCTGCGAGCAGACACTGTGCTCAGATGTGACAGCAGCAATTTGAGCCAAGGAAGAGGCCTGTACCTGGGCTTCAGGGTAGACCACCATTGCCCAAATCAAAAGCTGGAGAAGCAGATGAAGCAACAAATGCTGAAGAAAGCTGCACCCTACAGGCAACTTGGGCTGGAGAAACCACTCTGAGCAGAGTGGTGGAGAAGCAAAGTCTTATATCCGGGAATCTGGCCTGCCAGCTCCTAGGAATTAAGAAAGCCTCCTTTCACCTGCATCGCCCTCTGCTGGCAAAGCATGACATCATGTAAACTGCAAAGGAAACTTAAAGGGCTGATGCTCATGTTCATAACAGCAGGCAACGAACTGAACTTGGAGTTGAAAAACAATAACATAGTAACTAGCATGTCAACAGAAGACAAATTCTATTAGCAAAGATAAAGAAATATTAACTACTCAATAAATCACAATGAGATGAGCACTCCGACAATGATAGAAATACAAATAGGTGTGATTTTTTTTAAGTTAGTAGTAAGCTTATTCTATAATTCTACATGAAAGATCTTATATAGAAATAGAGACACAAAGACATTCTTCAAATATAATATTGTCATTTATTGTGACAAAAGGAAGTGAAAAACATAAATGTCCAAAAAATAGGAAAAAGATTTAAGAAGAAACAACACATTTATCAGAAAATGTTATGTGGTCATTAATTTTTTTTTCCAAATTTGGATTATAGAGCTAAATTTTCTTTATATAGCTAAGTAAGAATATATACATATTGCAAAATATTTATTATCAACAAGATACATATGTGTTTATATGTGTTACATGCACACACTAATATTTGTGTGTACACACAAAAAAAGAATTTAAATGTAATTTTGTCTGTACTGTAGAATTATGAGTGATTATGTATTTCTAGTTTTGCTATACTTATTAAGCTTCGATAATAAATGTGTTAAATATTTTTTTTTCTTTGTGTGTGTGTTTATGGTACTGAGGATTGAACCCATGGGCACTCTACCACTGAGATACATCCCTAGCCCTTTCTGATTTTTTTTTTTAATATTCAATTTGTTTCATTTTTATTTGGGGTTAGGGTCTCACTTAGTTGCCCAGACTGGTCTTGAACTTGTGATACATCCATAAAATCTTTGGTACTTTTCCTCTCAAAAGATGCAGCCTAATCCTCCTCACCTGTGAATGAGTTGGACTTACTGATTTTTTTTTTACTTTTAATTGAAAAATAGCTATTCTATATTTATAGGGTGAAATGTGATGTCATATGTATACATTGTGGGATAATTAAATCAAGTTAATTAATATATCCAACACTTCACATACTTATCATTTCTTTATGATTAGTATATTTAAAATCTACTCTTTAAAAATAATTAGTGACTGGCTTCTAATAAAGGAAAGCAAAAGGAAGCATGTGTGACTTTGAAGATTAGATCATAAAAAGTCACTATGGCTTCCTTGTTGCTCTCTCTCTCTTGCTCTAGGGGAACAACTCTCATGGTCTAAGTAGTCTTAGGAAAAGGCTTACCTTATGAGGCATTACACTGAGGCCTTACACCTCTGTCAAAAGCTAGCAAGAAATCCAGGCCTCCCATCAATAGCTACATAAATGGACCAGCTTGAAAATGGAACTTCCACCCTCTGTTGAGTCTTGAGATAACTTTACCCCATCTACTAGTTTGACTGCAACTCGTGCAAGACCCAGAGCCAGAAAACTCAGTGTAATCACTATTGGATTTCTGATCCCTGTAAACAGAGAATAAAGGCTTGCTGTGATATGCTGCTAAATTTTAGGATAGCTCATTATATGGAAATAAACAACTAACACAATTTCTGAGGCAAAAATCTGTCTATTTAAGAGTTATTTTGCATAATACTATAAAGTTTTGTCACAAACACATTTTTCTTGTTTTATGTAGTTCAAATACTTCACCATTTATATATTGATCAAATTAAACTCTAGATAATTTATTATCCTTACTAACAGTAGAGAACCTGTCACATTCATCTTTATATACTTTGTTGTACTTCATATTGTGCCTTGTATATAGGATGTGCTCGATAAAAATAAGTTGAATAAAGTAATTAGTGAATTAGTGAATGAATAAGTGAGTAAATTATTGAATATTTATTATTAAATATTTTTATAAAATGTCCTTTATAAGTATGCTTTTTTCACAGTCTGATCCAATAACTAAAGAAATATAGAAACTCTGGTAAGTGATTTTCCCTAATATGGGAGTATATTTTATTATCTCATGGCTTTGTGGAAGACAGTTAAGCAGTGTTCTTATGGATTTTGGGGCTATTCAGATTGCTTTCAGGAACTGAAGTAGAAAGAACTCCATTTGCAAGGCAATTGATGAAGAGAAAAAGCTAGCAGTTGTGACTATTAGGCTGAGGTAAGTACATAGGAAAGGAAAGGAGAATAGGATGCAACCAGGGAGGGCAAAACCCTTCAATGGCATCTATTTGCCTTCTTAATAATATGTTAACACTTATTGGATTGAGCCACCTAAAATTATCAATATTTGACTTAGAAAAAAGCAATTTCATATAGTTCTACCTAATACACTTACCACTCACTAGGCACTATTTTAAGTGCTTTACATATATTGACTCATTTAATGCAAATGAAGACATTTAATCCAAATGAAGACATTATTCTTTCAAGTCCATGTTATAGATGAGAAAAGTAATCCATGAAGAGGTAAGAAGATTGCTAAGATCTTTAGTAGAAGAAATAGGTAGGATTTGTACCTCTGACTCTAGAATCCATACTCTTAGCACCCATAATCTAGGTCCTCACTTTCAACTAGGCTCTTTTAGTCTGGAATTCTTTTATGTGTCCTCACTTATATAATGGGAAACATAGTACAGTCATCCCTGAGTAACTGTGGGGGATTGGTGTCAAGACTTTCCTCAGATTACAAAATCTGAGGATGCTCAAGTCTCTTATATAAAATGACATAGTGTTTGCACATAACCTACCCACATCCT